ATAATCTAAGTCGAAGCATACATGGCACGATTTGGCTTCTGTTATCGACTTCTGCTCTCCCACTCCCTCCAAGCAACTCCAATTATGCTGATGTAGTCAAAATGTGGCGTTGCACAGTGACTGGTATCAATTTGTCTTAACAGATCAATATTTTTGTAAACATCTGCTAGCTCTATTCTAATTCCTTTATATATACCTAATTTTAAAAATAAATTGTGAGGCAGCGTGGTGGAATCAGGCTCTCATCAATTTTGAGGAATGTAGAGTTATTGGTACCATCTTAAAGTTTGTTCGCTTGTCTTTATTTGTATGAAAAAAATATCAATTTATCTTGAATACAAGTCGAGATATTTGCAAATAAAGGAGGTGGGGGTCAACTGTTTTCAGAGGTAAAATTAGTGAGAAAATGGCGCCAAAGATTAGTTATTTCCTTAGAGTCCGTGGTAACTGAAAATTTACATTTTTTGTGAATTTAATCAACGTTTTTCAGAAAAATCCACACAGAAATGAGTTCTTTAATGGGCATGAATGGTGTTCGGCCAAAAAACGAAAATTTGATAAAAATTCACAAACCTGCCGAAAAATGCAAGTTTCTTCACTTTGATTATTTTGACGAGAGCCTGATTCCACCACGCTGCCTCACTTCCCAGAGGGTGGTTTCTACTGATTTTAGAAGGTTTACAGCTGGGTCAATATCGCTTTTGAAAGTAAGTCTGTCATTTTTTTTTTCTAATCGCGAGAGTATCTTTATTGAACGCAAGTTTTGAGAACTTTTAGGACAAAAAGTGTTCACTGTAAAATTAATTTCTTGTAACTAGTTTTCCCATTAGAAAGGGTCATAAGTGAGCTGTGACGTAAGCCATATATGCGTATACAAAATGTGTGTGAGAAGCGGGATGACCTGTGAACAATTCCATTTTCAGCAGGAAGGAGAGTTATAGTATTTTATATAAATGAATAAAGAAAAGTTTTTTAAAAATCTTGACTCAATTGTTGGGGAAAATATGATTAAGTTAAGACACATTGATACAAAGTGCTGTGCAAAGTAAGGGTGACAATGATGCAACCGTTAAAAAGATATCCGAGGATAAGTTGCGACACGAATTTTTGACCGCACTATAGG